ATCTGTTCGTTTAAACCTCTGTTATAATAGTTAGCAACATGTTTCATATCATATCTAGGACGAAGATTGACAGGTTTCTGTACAGGACGGACGTGCGATCTTGTTATATGAAAATAAACCTTGTTTATCCTTTTATAAGTTTCTTTCCTCTGTTAATGGGGTATGAATAGTCACTTTACTACAATTATATACTTGATTTTAATATTTACGAATTTTTTTTATACTTCAAGCAATACAAGAAGCTTATCATTGATGGGATTTCGTATTATGATTTTCTCAATAAACTAAAAACAATGGGTAAATATAGTTTTTTATATAAACACTTCTAAACCTTCATACAGCACTAATTAAACGACTTTAAATGATTAAAAGAGGAGAAAATTTCAAGTATGTCTTCTATTCCACCATCAACCGCATCAACTGCACGCGAAACAACATTATTTGGCGATTCAACGACCGAAACTCCGTTGTCCTACGAATCAACAGACCCTCTTCTTTCCGAGATCATCACCTACTTCATTAGCCGAGGCTTTCAATCAAGCCTCGTTAGGTCCTTTCTGGAAAGGGAGACTCACCTTGATCTCAAGACGAATGCGGAACTCATGTTTGATTTTCTTAAAGAGCGCCAGCAACTGAATCCAACAATCTTCGTTGGCATTGAGGGAAGTGGTATAAGTGGTGTAACTCCAGGCGAAGATAAGAGATTACTTGTGGAGTGGGGTCTTACGGAGGAAACCGCAAATGAACTCCGTGATAGTGTGTGTAATGATACCCTCTGGTCTAAACAGACTTTATACCATTGGTTATTCGAATGGATCCTCAATCCATGGGATTCCTTCTCTCAAATGAGCTTTGATAGGATTTTCTATGATGTGCAATTCCCACGCAATCAGTGGAACAGTTACGATAGAAAAGGTGGGCCACAAATGTTCGCCTCTTCATATGAAGATATCGCTACTGGAATAGATGGCTTTTTAAATAACAACACGAAAGTCACCAATGCCAATTTGATGAATACTATGTATCGTTCTTTCTTTCACGCAACAGATTATCAAAGCGCCCAAGCTATCAGTAAGAATGGAATTAAGCTTACACAATGCAAACCTAGTCTTGATTTTGGGTCTGATCCTAGCTTTTACCTAAACCCATCGATTGATAATGCAATTGATTGGATTAAGGACCGTAATGGATTTCATGGAATTGTCGTGTATTGGGTTGATATTGACAAATTACAAAGCATGAATTATCGCGATCTAGTTTCTGAAGGTGATGATTTGTGGAAGAAGGTTGTGGTTTCGTCGAGATGTGCACAGAACTCGGAAGTAGACGATAATTATTTTGTCTACGGATACCAATTATCCAACCCAAGGCAAATTCTTTCTGAATGGGAGAATCACGGCGGAGAGGGTGTTGAGGATTCATGGCAGAATGTCATTCCCAGTGCTAGATGGTTTGAACCTATTAAACACATTCAACTTGCTGTTAAGACTCGTAGGGCGGTAGGTCTTATGAATAGCTATTGTGTTGGCGTTATTTATTTTCATACAAAAAAACCAGTAGATCAATAGCTAGTGTAAAAATGAGTTGTAATCAAAAAGTCGTCATGCATGCAATAATAATAAAATAATGTTTTGCCTTTGAGTGTTAAAAGATTTTGTTTATTGTCAGAATTGTTTAGTGAAATTTACTGCGCCATTTTTACTCAAGTGTGAACATATGTTCACAGCTACCGAAATTTTTTCCGGATTTTAGATAAGCCAAATTTTACTCAAATGTGATCGTCTGTTCACACCTGCCGAAGTTTTTCCATGTTTTAATATATTCGAAACCTGTATGCTTATCGTTTCTACAAATAAAATCAATGTATATGCTTATCATTATTTTTTAACTTGTGTACACTTATCAAATAAATAAAAGGTGCAATCCACTCTATCTTAATTTTTTACTTAGCTGGCTGTTAAAGAAAAAAAATCTGAAAATCTGATTGGCTGATCATCTTGTGATTTATAGAAATTCGCCAGCGCCTGGAACTATCCTGGAATTATAATACTGAAAATAATTTAGCCATTACATTATCTATCGGATCTAATTAACTGAACCGGGTAATCCCCTATTAATCACGAAAGATCTACACAGCATGTATTAGATCATCTTATACTCCAATTTTTTGGCGATCATCCCCAGCGCTGGATTTGAAAAACATCTCGACACTATGATAGCTCCAGGGAACTCTCATGGAACTGGCAGGGAGCTAGGATGATTCCTGTGATACGATATACGTCATACACATGCCTGGATTAATGGTTAAGATCATTTTAGATAATATTTATAATAAAGCTGTACCTAAACCTGTCAATCTTCGTCCTGGATATGATATGAAACATGTTGCTAACTATTATAACGGAGGTTTAAACGAACGGAC